GATGTGGGTGGCGGGACCACAGCGCGTCTGGGCGGTCCCGCCGCCCGCGTCCTCTGGGGTGAGAAAAGCCCCGTTCGTAAGTACGGATCCAACATAAGTCGGATCCGCGTAACTCTGGGACTGCCTGTACTTGTATTTGCTCCTTCTGATGCAATGCCAGCCAGCAACCAGCAGATGGCACCATGAAAAAGGCCTCCCAAAACAGCTGTTCAAAGTGTTGCGGTGTGGCATGTAAGCCAAAGTCTGGTCATAAAAGGGGAGACTGTTGGCAGCAGGGCGCTTGCACAGGTCCTCAAATTCCTTCCCCTTGGACGTGGGTTTAGACCATTAGCACAGAGCACGCACTGTGGCACAGGCCTAGGATCAAATACACAGACTCAGTGTATCTTCCTGCTGCAGGGGTTGTTTTCTTGCCGAGTTTAACGCTGGTGAAACGGGCCACAGGGGATTGGATTTGCCTACAAACTTGGGGAAGTGACAGAAGCCCTGCCCACCAGAAAGGGTAGTTAGTGGTGTGGGTAGGGCACCTAACAGGTAACACCAAAGGTTTTGTGGCAGCACAAAACTCCCAGTCACATGTTCAATAGGGGAAAGCTTTATCTTTCAGCCTCCCTCTATCACAGCACCGTTTGCCAGCCCTCAGTCCACTATGCAAGGATGCCACAGACTATCTTGGCATTTAGACAAGAGGGCCGCAGCTCATCAGATACTCAGATTCAGGACTTGTTACTGGCCGTCCCGCAGAGCTGCCGCACACCAGATCACAGAAGCCCTGGCAACTAGGAGGAGGAATTCCTCCTGTATTAGGAATTCCTGCGCTAAAGGCAGGCAGGCTGAGCTCAAGGAACTAGGATGCAAGAGCAAGGGAGAGTCAGAAAGTTTTAGATGCCCCAGCCACGGACTCCTCCCTCTGCCACCACTGGGAAAGCCAACAGGAAACATAGCAGGTCCCAGAAGGCAATAGTTACACAGTTGGCCACAGCTTATTGAAATATCAATCCACGGGCTACAATCCTGCATTAGAAATAGGACAGCATCGGAGTTTGGCTACCCTTCCAGCCAGACCAGGTCTAGAGCTCTCAGCCCCTCTACAACTGCACTCAGCGTTTCCTCCTTCCTTGCCAAGATACCCAAATGGCTCATTGCCCGAGAGCACCCACCAAGACTCGCTCCACTGCCTTGTGAAAGCTACCAGGAAACGGGAGCGCTGTTCTTGGAGAATCGGTGGCTAGACAACATTTCATTGTGTGCTTTGGGGACACTGAGCCAATGAGTGGATGTGTCAGGCACAGGCAGGCAACGACAAGCGTGCCAGGCAATTGCTCACCCCTGCCCTAACTGCTTATGAAATTCTAACACATTTCTCCCTCCGTGGTCTTGGCTAGTGGTTGTCAACCCTAAATGTAACAGCGCTTCAGCATTTTACTGCTGCTGCCTCACCATACAGTCTCACCACCACCATCTCTACGGGGAGCAGAGGTCGGCTGAAGGAGGTGCCTATTTCTGTTCCTGCATCCATTTATGCATTCAGGCAGAGTTCCTCTGGGTAGTGTCCACTGGCTCCCTCCATGCTTTTGGGCTCTCTGCTCAGTGTCCCCTTCTGGTTCCCTTGTTTTAGCCTTTTGACCTCCCTGCCTACCCATTTTGGTTTCTTTTAATTTGGTGCCCATAACTATTTGGCTTCCTGGGCTCAGTGGATCCTCCTTTAGCCATGGGCAGGCATTTCCTGGATCCCAATAGGACTACCCTCTTTATTCTTGATTAGAGTGGGGCCTACGAGCAGGATCTTCACAAGCAGTCACGGCTTCCTCTCCTTTTTGCACACCCCTTCACAATACCCCATCTAGCAGCTACTTCTGGGATGTCAGGGTCTGACCAATGGGAGGCCAGACATAGCAACAGTCTCTGGTTTAACACAGACACTGGCCACCAACTTACCTGCCTGAGGGATTGCTATTTTCCTTTACAAGGGTTTTAAAACAGAAAAGGGGAGATTACGGCTTGCCAAGGTACCAGCGGCCACCAGCTGCAGGGGAAGGAGAGAGAAAGAATGACTGCTATAGCCAAGAGCCAACATTGCAAAGGCTGCTCTTGTTTGTCCTACGTGACGTGAAAGTGATGCTCTTTGTGGACTTAAAGCTTAGATTGGAGAGGATCTCATGGACACATTAAGCTTACTTTGGGGGGAGGAGATAGCTTGAGAGATTTTCTTGTTCCAAGAGAAGAGATCAAAGCTTCCTACTACATATAGAGATCATTGAGACCCTTCCTACCCCCGCCCCACCACGTATATTTACGGACGTCCTTACAGAAAAGAGCCATCAAAGCATTCCAATGAGACAGGTATTTATTTAGTTCAAGCGCTAAGGAGTTTGGTTTATATTATCAAACAGAGTTGAGGTACCAGTGACATTCCAACATGACGAGAAAGAACCTTTCCCCCGCCCTTTTACAATTTCTTTAGCTACTTTCCATCAAGACAAAAATAGTGAATAATGGATAGTTGCAGAAAGTACTGTACATCAAGCCAGAGTGGAAAGGGGACAAGAAACAAAGTGGAAATTTTTACCATTTTAAAACCCTATTTACAAACGAGCCTGTTATCATAGGTCAACTGGAAGCGTGGATGGAGCAAAGAAAATCTAAGCAGGTTGGAATGAGGAAGCATTGTACATTCCCTAAACATTCTGCTTCCATGTACATTATCAGAGACTTCCTTTCACTAAAAAAAGGGGGTAGTATTGGAACATGCATTGGGAATTATGGAAACAATGACTGCAGTCAGTGGATGCAGGGACAAATTGCATTACACACATTGGCTAGTCAGGGGTATGTCCTGGGCTCAGTAGGAATACACCAACAGCAGCTGAAAATGTTAAAAACATGAGTTGTCCTGGTTTATACCACCACAAAGTATTTACAATGTTCAAGACTCCTTGAGGTCAGGTTCTACTACTCATGTTCAGGCAAAGACAAGTTCTAACGGGCTGATCTTGCAAGCCCTTATTCAGATGAGCAGTCTATAGTGTGCACAAGTAGCCCCATTAAAATAAGCACAGCAACTCAGCTGAGAAAGGACTACTTGCTTGAGTCGTCATCTGACTTGCCTGCCTAAGACTAGCTTGTCAAACGCTTCAAGGTTAAAAGTGCAGAGCAACAAGCTGCTTTAAAACCTCCTGTTCTGGTGTTTTCCTTGTACAGTATTTTATGGAGGCAAAAATGCTGCGCTGGTTTACAGGAATCCAAACTATTGAACAGAATTGCTATAAGAACCCAAGCCAAAGAAAAATGAATATTAAAAGCAGCTAGACGGGGTTTTTGTTTTTTGCACAATAAAGGCGACTAAATACAGGAAAAGTAGCCAGGTTTTCCTCTCCGCATCAGCTTCTTTGAAATAAAGAATATGATCCTTCATCATATTTCACTGATGTTTATTTCAACACATGCCACGTCAAAAAAATCGCCTTTAATATTGCATTATAAAAGCACTTTACATCTCATTTCTGCCTTTAATGTTAAGTTATTGGTATGCAGAGTTGTTATAAATCCAGGGCAGGTCACGATTTGACATTTTACTCCAGAATGCAGAATTTCACACCTTCTCTGAATATTGCCAGATAACAGCAGTGGGGAAGGGGGCATTATCCCCTTTCCTCCCCCCATTTGGTTATTTTCAGTGGGAGAAAGGAAGGACTTTGTTGATTAAGTGACACTCATAAGTAGACTCAGGAATTTTTTCCTGCACTGTAACTCACCAACACTTCCTGCAAACAATGTATTTACAATTGTGTTTATTAACTGACAGCAAATTTCACACAAGGACTAGTAAAGATTACGAGGGTACGCTTCTAGTGTATTGGTTTCTCTGTGTTTCTTGGGTGGCTACATCTTGCAACACTGGCAAAGCTCTACAGCTATTCCTCAGCAAAACAAAAAATACTGAAAATAGTAAAAAAAATTAAGCCAAGAAATAAATATAAAAGAAAAATGGTTAATTGTAGCTTAGTTAAATATAAAACTAAATTATTAGCTATTTAACCAAACTATACAGATCTAATGAAAAAACTAACACAACTTGGAAGACCCAACATAAAAAAATGCTAAAAATTAAAGGCATGTGTCTGCATAATCATAAGTTTCTTCCAACTTATTAGAATTCCCTTCTTTGTTGCGTAGGATCTTTCAATTCTAATTATGTAGGCTCAAAAGTAAACACCTCCCGCCCCCTTCCTCAGTTTAGTTAGGACCATGATAAGGAAAACCGTGTGCTGTTCTTGAATCAATACACCCCATATTAACTATAAATTATTGTAATGTTGCTACTTGTTCCATCAAATGCTGTTTTGTCTTTCTGCCAAAACTGGACATGTCAATTAACAGATACAAATTTGGTTTTAGGGCTAATGCTACACTGTGTTTCAAAATTCCTTTTTTAAAATTGCTTTTCTCTCTGACACAATAGCCAAAACATCACATTCCAATCTCTCAAGTAGTAATTTCCTTGACTGGAGTTCTTCATAAAAAATGCTTTTAAAACTGCAAATCCAAGACATCTGTTTACTTTTCTCCTGCAAAAGTGTTTCTTTAGTACATGGGGTCCTCCCCCAAAGCGCCATTTATCAATATCAGAAAGACACTTTAGTATTGCTGGGAATGCTTTCTTGGAAATTTGACTCTGCAAAGACTAAAAGTCTCAGTAGCCTTTTTCAGCATCCCAACCCTGCTAAAATGTCAGGTTTCCAAAATGTTTAAGCATTTCAGCGTAGATTATTATAGCTTTTGTTCATTTGTTTTATATGGAAAAGGTAGCATCTAACTCTTAAGGATATGCCAACTCTGCCTCTCTTTTGTGGTCTCACCATTTCCAGTTTGATAGAGAAATCAAGTGTGTACAGTGTATGTGTTATTCTGCATATACTTCTTGACTAACTCCATTCAAAACTTACTTGATTTCCATCATTTCAAAGTGCAATATCATAACATATTAAAAAAGGAACAAATATTTAGAAACGGTACCTATCTTGTTAAAGTTATAACTGGAATATACTGGAATATTTTGGCTTTATTTTTTTTCCTTATAAATAGTGAAGACACTGACATTTTCTTTTGTGTGTGTGCGTGTGTGTGTGTGTGTGTGCGCGCTTGTGAAGCTAATAGATCATCTCCACGAGACAGCCAGCAACGATGAATTGCAATACGTTATTACTGAGGGGACGGTTCAAGCCAATATTCACACCGCAGTCAATGAAGAGTAAAGGGAGGGGAAGCAGTGATGTTCTGGAGAAAGGTGAGAGAAGCAACATGGTATTAGCAGGAACAACCTCCTTCACTGACGGGCTGCTCTTGAGGCTTTTCCAGTTTTATGTCAATCACTGGAAGAAGTAAGTTAAGGCAAACTCATTGGCACACTCCCCTTTTGGCATTGCTCAGTCAGGAGCCAGCAACGATGGTTGGCAGTCACCCTCGTTCTGCCACATTTCTCTGCACTGCATCTAGGTGGGGCTTTCGGATGGCATTTTCAGAGGAACACAACACATCAAGCCTAACATGGTGCAGCTTCTGGGAGCTGCTTGAGATAAGTGCCACTGGGAGCCAGCCCCCCCGTATGCCTCCCTCAACCACACCAACTTCAATCCTCCTTCCTGCCTGCCAAATTCCTTGGTCTGAGCCCAGAGCCCCCTTCTGCACCCCAACCCCCTCAGCCCTAGCCCCAACCCATAGCCACAGACCCAGCTGGAGCCCTCACACCTGTCATGTCCCAACCCACTGCCTTGGTCCAGAGCTGCCGCGCCCCCCCTCCCCCACACACACCCTGAATTCGTTTCTGGTCTCACCCCAGATCTCATACCCCTACCCCCGAGGCAGCTCAGTGAAAGTGATGGTATGGCCTCGGTGGGGCAGGAGTGCCTGGTTGTGTGGGAGTAGAAAGTTGGTAACCCTATTTTAAAGAAAGTTTTCCACAGCCTCTCACTGCCACTGCAGAGCCCGAAGGCAATAGGGTAAGGAGAGCAGATGCTTCTTGGCAACCCTCACTACTTTCTGCTGCTCCGAGCACTCCCCAGCCTCAAAGAAAAAGGTTCCCTCAATTATCACTGCACCCACAGCACTGTACCCAGGGGGCTGTGTGGGGCAAAGGGATGTGGCAGGCGAGAAGAGTGATAAGTGCCCAAAAAGCTAGTGAAAGTAACCGCAGGCTCACAGTGGGAGAGATGGTAACTTGGCTTTTGCCACAGAATGTCCAGTCCCTCACAAATGCTTGCCCAGAAACAGGCGACTGTATCAAAATGAGGATTTTAAGGTTCAGACTCTCAATCTGCAGGTTCAGGAGGGCCCTAGAGGCACTGTCACAAAACCTTTACCATTGGTTTTGTCCTTGATGAGAAAAAGGCAATTTCCAAATTCACAGACAAGTACATGCAGTTAATTATACTCGCAGCATCCACTTAGTCACCACGAACCCTACATGCACTAAACGCAGTAATGAGTCTTCAGTCAATTCATGATTTCCTAGAGGAGTTTGGTCTAATTCCCATACCCATCACGGGATTTTAGGCATTTATCCTGCCACCCTGAAACTAAATGAATTATTTGCTTTGGTCTTCATGGCTGAGGATAATGGGGAGATTCCCAAACCTGAGTCATTCTTTTTAGGTGACAAATCTGAGGATTTGTCCCAGAATGAGGTGTCAGAGGTGGTTTTGGAACAAGCAGCTAAACAGTAACACGTCACCGGAACCAGATGGCATTCACCCAAGAGTTCTGAAAGAACTCAGAAGTAAAACTGTGGAACTATTAACTATGGTTTGTAACCTGTCCTTTAAATCAGCTTCTGTACCTAATGACTGAAAGATAGCTAATGTGATGCCAATATTTAAAAAGGGCTCTAGAAGTGATCCTGGCAATTAGACTGGTAAATCTAACATAAGTACCAGGCAAATTAGTTGAAACTATAGTAAAGAATAAAATTGTCAGACAAATACATGAACATAATTGTTGAGGAAAAGTCAACATGGTTTCTGTAAAGGGAAATCATGCCTTACTAATCTACTAGTGTTCTTTGAAGGGGTAGAATACATGTAGAATAGCGATTTATTTTGACGTGTGGGGCTGCATAGACTGTGCTAAATTTCAAAATAAGCTATTTTGAAATTACCTCGAAATAAGCCACGCAATTTGCTTAGTTCGAGGTAAGGGTGCAGTGTAGACACACCCTAAGGCTCTGGCTCCATCATTACAGCGCACCCACAGATGACAAGCACAATGTAGAACACAAATCCCTAAACATGCAGATTCATGGCAGCTCAGCACACGTCTCAGAGGATTCGGCTCAGGTAATTCAAGGTGGCATACAGTTCATGCAGCTGGTTGCCCCAATGATCTATACTTGCGGAGGAAGTTCTTGGGAAGGAGATAAATGGGGTAAAGTAAAAGTCAGCAAGAAACAAAGAACTGAAGAACCCATTGTTACAGATCTGTCTTGTTTTGATTCTCTAAATCCTCGCACAGTTAAGAGAAAGTTGTTTAATAAAGAGGCTTAAAGCTACAGGTCTGCCAATACTATGCAGATCAGTTTTGGAGCAAGAAAGCCTGATGATTAGCCCAAGTTCCTTGAACCCCACATGGTTCTGTAAGTAATAGGAAATGGAAAAAATCTCATTGCTGGTCTTGACCCCCTCAACAGCAGAGGAGACACACAGCGGCAAGTTGCTCTGCTATCTGCACTCTGCAGAAAGCCCAATGGAAAGTGGCTTTATAGCTCTCACATTTGGAGACAGACTACAGGCAAGGACTGAGTTCTGACACTGTCCTTCTCAATAATAAAATAGGCACTGATTAGCCTGTCAGCTGTGTGCCGCTGAGAAAAGGTCCTTGAGTAATCAAGTGCGTGCTACACACAGAAAGCCCAGGATTTAATAGATGCAACTCTCAGCTGCTAAAATCATGGCTTTACAGGATCGTTACTTTACACCCGACAGGCTAACTTTCTGCATTCCAGGTATGCTTTCTTCCAGTTCTAGCATTCCTTTCCAAACAGTGCTGTAGAACATCCCCCTCACGCTGCCAGCTGGTTATCTGAAACAGATTATCCCCTAAATAACCTCCCCTTTATCTTCCACCCTCTTTCCAACAAGATCTAGCTCTGCTGTCATCTCTTCACCTTCTCCACTCCTGCATCCTTGTCATCCACATTGATCCTCACCTCCTCTCATCCCCTAGCACCACCCACAATAAACCACCCACTCCCACTTCAATGCCCTCTTTCTCAACCCTGCCCACTCCTTTGGCTTCATCCCCTTGAAAAATGCATGCTCATGTCCCCCATACTCAGGAGCCCACCATTAGCCCTTTCTCCAATTACTGCACCATCTCCCTTGTTCCTTGCAGTGTCAAGAGAAGCAGAGATAATGGGGGAGCAGAAGCAGAGGTCCCCAGATGTGGTCAGGAAGAGGACAGACCTTGGTGTTTGTACCTGAGGGGTTATAGATGGTGTAGAGTTTGCTAATTGTACCCAGCTTCTCAAAGCCTCATCCTGTCTTGACTTCTGTGACTATCAGCTGGAACTCCTACATCTGAGCAAAGCACCTCTTGTGGAAATCCCTTTATGCCCCTTCTCCAAGGGACTCCTGTAACAGTATCCCCAGCCTTTCCTCTCTATGCTGAGTGATTTTTATTGCATGCTACTTGGAAACACACATAACATGCCTCCATTCAGCGACCATCTCAGCTGAAGCAGTATGATTTTTGGCCATGTTCGGTAGGTCTTTCCTCCTAAGCCCTCTGCATTCTTTACGTACTATATAGGCCTATATCCTTCAGTCAGTTTGGCACCCAAGTCTTGCAGCTTCATCCTCTATAAAACAAGTCTTGGATCCAGATCACAAATGCTTCAGGGCCCTACCTTGACTATTGCAAACTCCTCCTTGACATCTAACCTGTTCAAGATGCTGGACTAAGAATTCTCTGGCCTGTTGATCTGTGTCACCCTCCTTTGAATCCTCTTTCCCGACACATTAAATTCAAGCCTCTTGTCCTCATTTCCAACTCTGATCATCCCTGTTTTTTCACTCGTGTCCCTGCATAACCCTCCCACCTCTGCTGATCCCAGGCTCAATACCTCCCCCTTGTTCTCTTTACAGCTTGTTCCACAAGTGGCCTTGCAATTTCTTCCATGCTGCTCCTACAGCATGGAACATCTGCACTGAACTAGTCTGTAAGGATCGTATCTTTCCTCAGCACACACTTTGGTGATGCTCATAAGCAATCAGCCCAGTAAAAACAACTAGGCAGGGTCCAATTTTATATTTATACCTCTCCCTCCCCCATCCTGTATGTACTCAGGGATTGCAAGTCCCCATGGGGGAAAGCACCTAGCTGTACAGCCACAGAATTATGGCTCGAACAAGTAAAGGATACTATCTTCTCTGCTTTTGTCCTGTGTGCTCTCCATTCCAGGCAAGGCAGCTGCCACACGTCGGAAAAGCTGCAAAAGAGAAAGGTAAAAGAAAAAACTCATTACACGAGTAATGACATTTGTGACAAGGTTCCAATTCTGCAGGACACAACGGAATGACTTCATACGTGTTTGTGTACTAGCTCAAGATCTGTACTGGTTAGACTACAACACCCAGAGTAACCTTTGAATCTCAGAGAGGACTCGTTCTTGTTAACATTGGAGGTTGAATTAATTGGACACAGTTAAACAATCCATTAGTGTCTTTGGAAACGAAGAACTTACTGAGAGAGACAGGCACTCCAGAGTTCCAATCTTTGTTGTAGCACTGAGCACTTATTTGCGGGATGAGGTTCCCCGTGTGTAACCTGAGGATTCAGATCCTCACTAGACAAATGCTAAGTTCTAGAATGAGGATGTAGGCCTCGAATGTACGGTGAATCTGGCTCTGGCCATTCTTTGAGAGATACTTGTTTGTCTTTTCCATTTATGCAGAATTCAGCCTCTAATTCATACCTGCCCAAACACATTGTCATTGGTATGTTCAGCTACATGGTGTTTTAAAATGAGGCACTATGTCAAACCTACCTTTTCCCTCTTCTGTGCATTCTACAATTAGTATCTTTCCTATAATGTGGAACTCAGCTTTGCGCAGTGTCTGCCAGATGGCATTTCTTCAACCCTCTGGACAAAAACCTGCAGCCTTTTACCACCATAAGTCTATGCCACCAATCCCATTCACAATTTTGCTGTCAATAAGCTTATTTCCCAAGGAGTTCATGTGTGACATAGGAAATATTTTCCTCACACTGTGGCATTCTGATATTTTTCCACAGGAGAATCATGCAGCGAAGGATTGTGGCTTTGCTGAACAGTGTTCTCTCAGAGAACTAGGGAGGTAAGCGACTAATCAACTTGTCGACTATCTGATAAGCAAAGACACTGGTTGACTTGTCACTTCCCCCCACCTTGTTGCCTCTTTCAGAAAGAGGCGGGGGGGAGAGCGGGGAGTAGGTGGGGAATAGAGAGGAGGGGATACGGGGGGAGCCAGCTTAAAAACCAGTTCCCCCCAGCTCCAGCTGCACAGGAGGGGGCAGGGGCGGAGTTCCACTTTTGAAACGTACAAGAGTCCTTGCTGGGGCTCTTGTACATGTCGAAGTGGAAGCACTATATTGAGCCTGGGGCCAACAGGGGATTGTAAGTCCCCCACTGGCCCCAGGCTCCATGCCGCGTTTCAGTCTGCTCCATGCTGCACAGCACTTCCACCTTTGAAATGTAGCAACAGCCCAGCAGGCTCTTGCTACATTTCAAAGCAGAAGTGTCCTTATCGATTAATCGAATAGTTGTTGGAATTCCATCGACTATTTGATTAATCTAATTTTAACACCTACAGAGAACCAGCCACATCAAGTAGATGCAACTTCATAGTCTTCCACAGCACCATTCCGCATTTGCCAATGCCTCTGGGAATTATGTACAGACTTGAGTACGATCCTCCGAGTGTTAGAAGAGGGAATGCAAGAAAGTATCTGTTCTTCCCTCTTTTCTGTAGTCCCTGAAAAACTCTTTCAACAGCAGAGGATCGGTGCTGTGCTACTGTACACAATACATGCCCAGTAGTAGGTATAGGAACGAAGCTGTCACACACACCTGAGTTAAACTTTCACAAGATTCATACTGAGCTTACCATGTATGATATGCCTATGTGCTGAGAGGCACCATGAACACTGGACTGGGAGATTCCAGGTGCTTTGGGAGTTTTGCAGTCAGTTGGCTGAGCACATACATGCAGCTGCTGCAGAGATGCAACAAGCTATAACCTTGCTACAGAAACAGACAGCAAGCGTCCAAACCCTATGGTCACCGCGTCAGCTGTCTATCAGTGCCCGCTATTCTTTCATTGATCTTCTTGGATAACCCCAAGCTCCCCAATAACCCAGCTTATCTAGGACACTGAAGAACTTCAAAAGCTACTTTCAGACATCTGGGGTGAACCTGTTCATACAATTAATTTACCGCCTGGAATCAATGCTAAAATGAAATTCACTAAGACATTGTTGGCATGATCAACAATGCAGATGTTGCTGAAATTAAAAGAGACCATGCCTACATGTAACAGAGTTGAGGGGTTGGTCTTCCCTGGGCAGACCTACATACAGTTTGGAATCTGACCTATGTTCATTTGTCATTACTAGTCATTACTAATTCGGTAGCAGGCTGTTTCAAGGTGTAAGGTCAAAACTAACAAGAGGTACAACAGAGGCATCAGCAAAGCAGGTTTCCCGCACAACTATCAACATCTCATCCCTCTTCTTGAGGGATCAGTGCTCATATCACATGCCCCATCAGTACTCGGTCTGTGCTGAGGGAGCTAATGATCAAATTTGCTGATGAATCCTGGTTATGTGCCACATTGTGCATCCACTAAGAAGAAGGAACCATCGCAAAAATTCCCAATCATTTCCCTTCTTTATGTCTGATCAGTTTTTAGCCAAGAAAGCCCCTATATGGGCAATGTTTTTCAGACACCTGCAGCCCATTAAGGCCTGTGGAGCTGCTTTAAAAGATTTTCCCTGGTAAGGAAGAGGGAAGGAAAAGAGTAAAGGACTAAAAGGAGGAAGCATGTTGCTGAAGGTAGGGGTAAGAGAGCGAGAGACTTGCTCAGGTACCAGAGGAAAGGCATTAGGAGGGATCATTTGGGGAAGTGGCCAGGGAAAAAGCTGCCAGATGAGTGAAAGTAATCCTATCTCTTGCTGCAACCTGGGTTCTCCCAACTCTCCCCACTCATCACAAAGTCTACCCCGAGAAGGGAGACCAATTGGGTTTTCACCCCAACTGTGGACTAGCCTGTGTTGAGTATGGCTCAGCAGGCTGTGGCCCTTGCCTGGAGAAAAAAGAAGGCTGTGTGGAGGGTCACAGCGAGTCTCTGAAACAAACACTGTCTGTCAGAAGTGCAGGACCCACAGGGCATGGTCGGAGCTTTGCCACACAAGACATGACCTGAGAACAGAACACACATATTTCATACAGGCCTTGCCTGCAATGGCTCAAGTACCAATCTGGGCTGGATGTGAATTAATGACCTAGAAGTACAAAACTTTGTATCGTGGTGCTGGTCTCCCTGTCTTCCTGCAATTCCCCAGAGCCATCCAGTCAGAACAACCTCTTTGAAATATTTAACTGACTTCTTGTACACCAGCTGCAATAAAAAGCAGCCACTGACAAGAAATACTGACAAAACACATCAGCTTCTCAGATGCTTGAACATGCTGTGCATCAGTGGTGAATGGGGGACAGACAAAAAAGTCTATAGGATAAATGCCTGTTCTTCCCAAGTGTGAATGGAAGGATTTGCTGACCAGGAAATAATTAAACCAATTTAGCATGACAATGTACAGAGGAGAACTAGACTTAAGTATCTGGCCAGCCTGAGTTCTGGTATCAAGACATTGTATAAGTTGGTCAATTTCTCACTTCTACCTCACATCTGTTATCCCAACTTTGCTTCCCAAAATACAATCTTGTCAGCATACTTCATGCATAATTGTTAGAAAAAGCAGCACTGCCTCCAATGTATTTTTCAATACAGCGTTTTTTAAACTAGAAAGATATTGGCACTTTGCCTAGGTCAAAGGAAGAAGTCGTGGAGAAAAAGTTTCCCTCTTTCCCAATTGGTCAGCAGGACTTTCATGGCCATTAAAAT